GGTTACACTTCAACCTTGTCTTTTTTCTGCCTTTGCCTCGTCCTGCGTTTTCCAACCTCCATTTTTCATTTGTTTTCTTTGCTTTCAATGTACAAAATTGGCAGCGAGGTAAAGGTGCGGTAAAAAACGTTGCAGTTTCTTGTGCAGTTGGGCTAATTCGTTCTGCAGTCGTCTCCTAAGCGGGCTGAGCGTCTTGTTCGTTGGTGGCTAACCACGGATTTAATCTCGCCTATATTCTAAATGTTGATAAATAGGCAGTCCCTACATCATTGGAGGGCCTCTTCCTGTGCAGTATGAGTGAAAAATGGCTTCAAACTTCACTGTCGGCGGTTCCGATACTTTTTGATATTGGTGGCTTATCTGGACATGCAGCCGGTTTTCAGTTCTTTATTCTGCGCGCCTACGAGTTTTTCAAAAGAACACGTGTTCAAGCGTAATATCTGCACGGATCCTGTGATGTGACATGCATAGTTGAGGCCGCCTATGCCTTTTTCACTAGACATGTTCGTTTCCCCACATTGTACGGACACAGTGATTGGGCCATCCTAATGCGCAAAGGGCCGTAATCCCTGTTATTAAGTTGTGTCAGTGGTCCAGTTAGACCAGAAATTCGTAAACAACCGTCCATCGGGAAACTGAACGAGATATATTCCATAATTCTCGGCCTTTAAATGTTTACTCTTCATTTGATTAACTACTGGAGTAAAGACTGACTCGCATAGCCTCTTCCTGAATCAAAATCCCGCTTGTTGTTCTCGTATTCCCTCTTCAAACATTTTGTTGCACGTCGTGACATAAGCGACGCAGAATCGTGTTAAAGTGTGAGTCAAGGCAAGTTCCTCGTGATTGCCAGACTGGCTGCGTGTACCCAATTGAGTTGGGATGGTGTCTTTCCACAGTAGCGAACCATAATAATGTTTATTCCCAACTTGTGGGTGGCATACCGTCTGGCACGATCATACGTTTACAGTCAGAATGAAACATGACTGGGGGGATGTGCGGCAGGTGGGGATTGCGCGAAAAGAGGACAGTGTCGTAACGGTGAGAAGTATCGAATGAAATAGTAATAATGGTTTTTTTCCCAGCTTGTGGTTACGATGGGCGTGAGGTCCGAATAGTTCAAATACTTAGCCGGCTGACACGAACTAAAACTGGAAAACCATTGCTGGCCATGTGTGACCTTGGGCGGTTGGATTAATGGCCGGAGACACAACGAGCAAAAGTGGAGATGGAGATGAAATAATTCGACTTAATGGAACATAGCAAGTTTTTTCTCAAAAATATGGTGTAATCTGAAGCTAAACAGACTCACTGGTTGCACTGTTGTAGGGAAGTTAGGTGTAATGGGTAGGATGGATGGGGACATGTTGCTATAGCATATGCCCAACAGAACACCGTATACGGATTTTAACTTGTGAAAGGGGCAAGCCGCAATTGCAGCAGAAAACCAGGCTGGTCGGATTTGAGCGAAAATCCATCGGGTAGCCCAACAGAACACCGTATACGGATTTTAATTTGTGAAAGGGGCAAGCTGCAAGTGCAGCAGAAAACCAGGCTGGCCGGATTTGAGCGAAAATCCATCGGGTGCGGTTTTATGGTGCGGTGTAGCCCCTGTTCTGACGAAGGCAGTTACAGCTGTGCTATGGGCATTGCAGAGTATCTTCAGGTTTTCCCAGTTGTATTTTTCATTTTTATTTATTTATTTTTTGTAGATGAGAGGCCAGTTTGTTATTTTTCTCCTCATCTATGGCTTATGGCGCGGATTGAAGATTCGACCCCGAGTACTGTACGGAGCGGGTGGGTGTACTTCATGACGCAGAGTTGGTAGAGGCTTTTGTCTATTTCCGAGGCCATAAGATGTTTCATCTTCATCGTCCTGGGCTGCGCCGCCCGTTGAGAACCTGGTTCATTGACTGCAGGTTATCAATGTAATTGGCCTCATGTCGTGGACTAAAATGTTTACCAGGTTGGACAAATGTTGTTGGGCAGGCAAGGATCACCGCATTGTTGGGTAATGGAAAGTCGGAGTCCATTGACAGCTCTTAGGGAGGGTGACGGCATGTGTGGTGACATTATGGCTATCTGCCGTATCCAGATGTGGGTTGAGGGAATGTTGTTCTTGAATCAAGGAGAGTGAGACTTGCAGTCTTCAGTTGGAGCACACTCCTCAGAGACAGTTAGACCGCTTCAAGAGTGGCCATCTTATTCACGCATGTATTCGGATAGAAAAAAATTAACACTATTATTATTAATAATAATAACAGACATTGTACCATTCATTACTTTGATCCCCACAACTCCTCGTGTCTCCCCAGTCCATATTTGTAACCCTGCTTTACATTTAAGTTGTGTGCGCACATGAAGTGCTATTNCCCTACAAATTTGCTCATTTGACCCTGAGGTCATCCAGCCTTTTTCTCATCCACCATATGCATGTGATAACCTTGCATTATTGTAGTTTATACTTTTATAGTCCAGTTGGATCACTTGTTAAGGGCGAGTATCTAATTTCGAGGTTTGAATATTTTGCGAATCGAGGTTTTATATTATTGGTATCGCATAGAAACCCAGCTCCAAATTTGTTTTGCCTTTTTGGTCGTTTGAGTATTACACGCCACACAAAGGTTCAGTTTGGCTTTAGCAGACACGATTGTGGAAGTGAAGCTAGAGGGCAAAATGCTGGCGTGAACGGTGGCTTAGAGGTGCCTGAAATCCATGTGACAACGTCTCAATTTAACCTGAAATTGTGGGAGGCATTCAGTTACGGAGATGTGGGAGCTTTCTGTACAACAACAGGATGGTGAATGCCAGAAAAGTGTCGGTTTACAAATAGAGGGACCGGATTTGATAACTGGCGTCCGAGAACACAGCAAATAGATAGTGAGCATAATACTACGGCTGAGTATGATGAATCAAGCCACGGAGTATAAGTTACGAGAAACAGAAGCAGACTGAATTGAGGATTTTGTTCTCTAAAGGGGCAAAAATTGAATTGAGTACCCGCTCTTTTACTAGACTTTGCTACGGCGACAAGGCTACACGTTTAACAGCGCATGAGGTTTTTGAATCCTGGGGCCCAGGTTCATAGCAGTTGAGCTCACGACTATCTTGTGGACACCATTTTCAGCATTAAAATTGCTGCGCCGAACAGTGATAACAAACTTATATAATAATGATGATCTTCATTGAGTCTTGTAGTTGCACCGTTGATGTACACGCTGACACTTTGCCGTTGCCAGCGGGACTAATTGATCAAATAGTAAGTTTGTCTCCACAACAGTAGGACTGCTGAAAAAGTCTCTATAGGTATGTAGTGGATCAACACTTTTCCCTTCGGAACACCTGTCGCGTAAATGCAACTTCTTGAAGGCGAGAATCAGAGTGGCCACTCAGTGCTGATGAAACCGACAAATAAAAGTGCTTTGCCAAAGATGGTCGTGTATTTTTCATTTGTGGGGAGAGCAGACGGGAAAATGAATGAGAGGGAGGATCATCATTGTCTGTTGGATTAGACTTTCATGCAAGTTTAAGGCTTTATAATCGGGAGCACGCATCCTTATGTGTGTATGTATGTATGTATTTGGGTAGGTATGTATGATAAGTAGCCAAGGTAAACGAAAACAATGCGGACATTATGATGAAGCGCATTCGCCGGCCTTAATTTTAGACATGAATGTTGGGCCTTTAGACGTATTCCAGCTAGAGAGCGCCATTCTGTCGAAGAGGAATGACATGGATGTTTGATTCACACGCACATATCTGAATGCGCTGCGTAATTCGTCGGCTAGTTTTGCATATCACAGAATATTGAAACATAATCACACCACTACTCCACAAAGTATAAAGTTGTCATTCATGATCATACTGAACGCAGGCTGAGCTTCCCAAGAAATGGCGTTGTGCAGAAGCTTGTCAAAACTTAACCTAATTTGCTGGGCCAGACGCCTACAATACAAAAAGACCTAATTCAATTTGGGTGGAAATTACGTCAGATACGATGTAGATGTCATCTCCAATTCGGAAGGCATCGCGGAGCGTTCAATTATCCTTATATTTGAATCAATGGTTCTTGTGTAGGCTGGTGTTCAGATGCAAATCGGCGGATACCGGTGACCTTGAACGTTGGCTTACTTAGACAAAATGCTATGACCAACATAGCATTGGAACGTGAAAATTGGCTAGACTAACTTTTAGTAAATTTGACAAATCAAATCCCAACAGTCTCGAAGAAATTAAGTTCGCTTCTTTTCTGGTGAACTGCCCGGCTTTAGCAGCAGGCTACGGAAAATTGAACGGTAAATGAGGGCAAAAAACTGTGAAGCTATCCCCCCAGAAACAAACCGAAATTGGTTTCAGCGAAAATGTGGTTTCCGTGGTTGCGAATTTTACGTGGAATTTAGTATGATCAATTTATTTTAGCAATTCGAAATACTGTGGGTTTCGTGAAATTCCCCTTGATTAGATATCGATCCGTCTTGAGGCCAATTTTGTCGCACAATGCTCTTCGCTGCAAACCCCTTGCGAGTAGAAGAAGAATTTTCGCGCAGAAATGTTCGATTTCGTAGCGTCCATTCTCATACTGAAAACTACACTAATCTACGCCAATTTTTGCAGCTCACCGAATTTCTTTTTCCACTGCAAGCGGAAACGTCTGGTGGAATACTCTCTTTGCACCACTGATAACCCAGGATGCCTAGATATCGCTCAAAATTTGGACTCGTGCTCTGAACATAATTGTTTCTCTGCTTTAGTCCACCAGAGACATCGTAGCTCTCGAAAATTCAATTCCATTGTGCGAATACTGGGCACCCACTTTCAGCATAGTAGTCCGCCAACGGTCGCTACAGCTTTTTGAAGATATACCAGTGGTATCCAACGCTGGCATTAAATATTATTATTATTTCTATTAAATTCCTAGACTTACCGTTTTGTTACACCAAAATGTGATATATGACCTTGCAATGTAAAAAGCGCCAACACAACGCGTTGGTCTTCTTTGTATGACCCAACTACCTCCTCCAACTACCCCGAAAATATTGGCCCAGAACGACACCAAAAATGTGACGGATGGTCTAGAACCTTTTTCTGGTCAAGAGTATGCACATATCTTGGTTCTTTTGTCATCTGTGTACACACAAGTGCTTGCTGGGCTGTGCGCTCTTGTTGCCTGCTGCGTAACATTGCATCACGTAGGATTGGGATATACACTTCTCACTTCGTTCAGATATATTGCCACTTGAAGAACTACACTCGCTATGAAGAGCAGAGATATATTATCAGGATTCTCATTCTCATCCCAGCGTACGCATTCTACTCGTTCACTAGCGTCATGCTGGCGGTGCATGCTCGTCAGAACAGTGTGTACATCGAGCCAATACACGACATAGCCGAAGGTATTGCCCGATTTTCCGTAATATGAATTTCTTTTAGCTATCGCCATTTACAGTTTTCTGGCTTTGTGCTATCAGTATTTAGGCGGTGAAGGAAGCATAATGCTGGAGCTCACCGGAAAAACTATAAGGTTTGTTGCAATAATTTATTTTACAGAAAAATAGATCCAGCATTTTTTATGGTACTTGTTGTTTTGCGGGAAAGCCATATACGATCCTCTTCCTCCGGTTCTGTAAAGTGGTAAGTTCTTGTTCAGTTCGTCGTAAGATTGAATCGCGCTGCAAATATCAAAACGGCGTACGCTGGAGCATATCAAAGAGAAGAAGAATACCTCAGACCGAGTCACGGACATTTCTTTCGCTCTAAGGTTTACCAGTGCGAATTCGCCCTTATCTCTCGCTCGTGCGCATCGCACAGAAAGGCACGTGGTCGTTTTCATCTATGCTCCCCATGGGCAGCGTCCCTAGCAATACAGCGCATGAAAAGTTGTAGACGTACTGACAAAAAAGTCTATACTTGTTCCCCAAGGTATGCAAATCGGACGTCATATTTGACGATAAATGTAGTAGACAAAGGCTCATGCTTCTAGTTAAGTGAAAGCAGTCAGTCAGTGAACCTTGACTCGTCATTTTCCGGCCAATTACCATCCTCGTATATATGGACCTCGCAGATCCAGTAATCCTACAGCGTATTCCCTCTTTGTTCTTATTGTCCATGACAAATATGCAGCTATTTTTTCGTTCTATTAGGTCTGTGATGGGATATCTGCTGAGATTGACTCCATGCAAAAATAACGCTATAGCCTGTGCAAAATTGTGGCTCTTGGCTTATCACATTAAACCTCTCCGCATTTTTGTGGGTGTATGGAATCACTGTCTACAAACCATTTCCACAAGGATGATTTATGGATTACAATCCGTTCATGGGACTAAGTGTGGGTGGTAAAACATGCATGTTTGCTGGCAGGGGGCTTTTATGTTTAGGTAAGTAAGCATAACCAAGCACATATAGTATGGGCTTGTCGTAGAATTTTCTGCCCTCAACTTTACTATACTGCTAATTACGAGACTAGTATGGAGTGTTTGGAAGCAAACTGTTCTATAGCACGCAGACACAATGCGAACCAGAGTGCTGTTGATTGCTATAAACGTTTCGTATGAGCTACAAGATGGTTATAATGACGTTACCAGCCTTCCCAGACTGCATTCTTGTTTGCCTGAATTACTTTAGTGCATGACGTTTTTTAGGGCAAATATACCACTCAAATACACTATGCTCATTAGGAAGGCAGTTTACTGAAAGGAATTCACCATAATCACCGTCATTACTATCATCAGCCTCAGCCGTGTTCAACAGTTGTAGCTTTCACACATTCGTTCGCCTAGGATCTGGGAAGATAGGGGTGGATAGGTGTGAACTGGAGGCAAAAGCCAATAGAACTGACGTGAGAATCCAGAGGTGACAGTGGACGCTTCATTGGGAGATCGGGAGAGTAAGCTATACACTGGAGGCAACAACCTAGATGCCTGCATGCCACCAAGTACGCGACTGGGTGATATCTTTTGGTGTATGTGACGTTTGATATGTCCCATCTCGGGGTCCCAACCAGGAACAGGGCAGTGGAGTTGCTGGTGATGGCTTCATACTTTAGTGGAACGCCATTGTTTGGCCATTCTTTGACTCGTGTCCACAATCGGTGTGGTTGTGCTAAAAAGAATTGGGCCGACTTGGGACTGATACAAATTTGTCTACTGGCTAAGTCGGCCCATGTGCGATTATGAGGTTCGGGTTTGAACCCACTCTTTCTTGCAGCTGCATCTTACATTTTGCAATTATGGAGAGCATACCAGAACGTGGAGCAGAACCTTAAATATTGTTTAGTATTGTCAGCATTACCATGATATCAGATCAAAGCAAAACCACCTCGCCTGAGTACTATATATCTCTACGCGAATGCCCTGAGAGCGTTCCGGCCTCACAGACATTAGAGGCTGAGTTTGTTTTTTTCACGGTCATATTCGTGACGAAGGTGAAAAGGAAAGCTGAAAGAGGACAACCTTGCTTAATACCAGTCAACGTGGGTTCAGGATCGCAGGTGAGAGATTCCCATAGACCCTCACGCATCCGCGTAGATCGCTTTAATGAGGGCCACGAATTTATGGGAGCAACCTTTGCTTTATAGACACTACAATGGTGAGAGCATTCAAGTCAAGGAGGACCGCCATTCTTGATCGCTAGAAGAAGTATCTCTGTTTCAGAATCTACCGACAAGCGAATACGTGATCAGTGCATCCTCTTGCAGAGCGGAACCCAGGTTGATTTTCACGGACTTGGCTCTCTCTGTGTTCAGTCAATCTTCAAACAATGAGACCAGGGAAAACTTTTCGATACTACAGCTAATAACACGGTGGTTTCCACAGTGTTCGTGTGCCAGTTTTGAAGATAGGAACGACCACCGGTGTCTCTCATTCTGAAGGCATTTTCTCTTCATTCCATGTTGTACCGATAAGTTCTGTCTGGTGTGTTGCCAGGGGTTCTCTACATTATTGGAACAGGGCTGATACAAGCCACCGGTCCTGCTGCCTTCTCAAGTTTTAGAAAAGGCACTTTGTACTTTATTTATTCCTCTGACGGGCGATCAAGGTTTAAATTCTGTTCGACCGCACGCAACATCTCCAGAGTCTGTATCACAGGAAGCCAACATAACCGCTCTCTGAAGTGTTCGGCTTATTTTTCCAGTCGCTGGGTTTGCGAATGAATAACTGAGCTTTCTCTTGTGACAACCAGTGACAACCTCAGTGACCACTCGATCATATTAAGTGGTATGTGACATGGTTGTTCCCGTTGGCAGAAGTTTTCCCCATCTGAGATTTCATTGTTACTCAAAGCTCTTGGACCTTCCGTAGATTCTTCACTAGTTAACGTTTGAGAGAGCTGCATCCTCTGTCGTGCTCGTTCCCTGGTGGTATGGATTTCCTAACATCGATCAGGACTAGCCACCTCGACGAAACCTAGTATTCGTTTGATCGCGTCTGGAAAATCGAACAAACAGCTTTGAAGCCGCCAGTATAGTCCTTTCATCCACTTACTCGTTACCAGTACTCTGTGTTGTTGCAGAGAGTAGTTGAGCCGTCTCAGAAGATTATGGATTGCCAAACTACATTATGTCGGATAAAGGATAGAAAAAATGCGAACAGTCAGATATGCTCGCACTATATTAAGGTCAGGAGCAAGCTGCCTGTTGGTTTACCTTAGTCAGCAGTTGACACAACTCATCAGCACTGCTGAGCTATAGTAGTTCATCGAAGACGGCTGACTTGCATGTTTCCTGCTGAGCTGCGATGGCCTGATGGAAAGTAAATTGTCAGGCGTGCTTGTACGATGGTATGACCGGTGTTAAGTTGTGCGCCTGAGGAGAAACGGCAGTCTTGAACAGTAGCTCTCCATCGCTATCCGATAGCCATGTGATTCGACTGGATCTATGGTTGGTTTGCACTTAGTAGCCGCCAGGTTACATAGTGTGAGCCTATTAGTTGAAAATTCATTCTGGCTAAAAACAGTTGATGGCCAACACACACTTGGAGGTTTTGCTGTCCGTTATCTGTTCTGTGAATGCCAGCTCCGAAGCGACCGCCCAGGTGTGATTCCAAGGCGCTCAGACAGCCGAACTGCACATTCATACCACATGAACGGATGAGACTGTCAGTGCTTCTTGCATGGAGACTGGGCCTGGATAAACCGCGGAAGAAGTGTCCTGATCGGCGTCAGAATTGCAGTCCGTTGGCACACGACCTGATACCACAAACGGGCACTGTTTTTTACGTCGAATGACATTGAGCTGCGTAACCGAACTGCGCAAAAATTGTCCCCAAAAATCCATTTCTTCAAAGCACTTTCAGCTATGGGGCTGACTGCAATCATCACACTATGTATTCAACGAGTCATCGTTTCTGAACCACATGATACACGGAGAGCAAAGTGTGGAAAAGTTGAGTTCATCCTAGGCGCTCTAAGATGCATGATCGCAACTGAGTCTTCTGTGCAAGCTTCAGAGTAGCGGTATATATTAATTTTAAGGGAGAAAAAGTTCTGGGAAAGCAGCGCCTGTTTGCCAATTTGATCTAGAGTGCTGACTTTGAAAGCCTTTATGTAGAGAGGATCTCGTAGAAATAGCAGTGTTATTTTGTTGATTATTAGTGGACAGTAAAGTGTATAGGGCACATTGGTCAGATATCTAGCAAGCGATCAGTTAGACGTTTACTTGTATATAGGAAGGGGTTGGGGAGAGAAATCATTAAAAGGGACTGTACAGGGAATTGATACTTTCCGTATCTCCAGGCCGAGGAGCACAGTTTAGCTTAGGGGACCCACCTTGAGCGCTTGACCGAAAATTCTAACCCGCAAGACAGTGAGAGGGTGTGGCGATTTCGTTCCGGGACCCTGCTTCTGGTCTCTGATGCAAAAATCCGACCCAGCAGCCAGCGGACAGTAGATCTTTCTTTGAAGACCATGCCCGGCGCCGATTAATGAATAGTCTTACCTACTCAGCTACGGAAGCCTGACCTAAACCGATGGTGCAGGGAATAAGGCATGGATGTCTCACTTATGATGCTGTGGACCATAGATGTGTGTTTCTTTGATAATACTGGATAACTCACCGTTGGTCACGGTCATCCGTTAGGCATTCATAGTATGTGGCTTTCAAATCCGTCCTACTTCTGGGGAAAGCAGTGTCACTAGGTCTATGATAATTATCCAATGTTTATACCCGGCAGCTTTTTCTTATCAGTTTTCTGGAAGTGTTAACTTAATTGTGATCCTTGATTGCAATATTAGACTCTTTTGCATTGCTTGCCTCTTTCATTTCCTGCGCTTTCACCGTTCTGCATGCTTCATATCCGGAACACTGATTTCGAATTTCAGGATTGTTCTCCAAGTAGAGGCATTTTTTTCACGTCTAGCTAATATCAGTGTGCATATTCCAGTGGCTGTTCTGTACAGCAGCTGGCGTAGGATAAAGTCAGTTTTCGAGCTGTTTGGAAGTTTGTTCTCATAAATTCGTTTGAATTCAAAATATGGTAATCTGCTCTGCCTTGGTGCTCACGGTCTCATAAATCACAGAGAAATCGAAAGTAGATGGCTAGCGATCAATCTGAATTAGTGTTTTTAGTAGGGCGGGACTTATTGGTCCATTTCATTCGTGCGGACGTAATGCCACCGGGTTGGTTTAATTGTAATAC